CTGCCCCTTCCCAGGCGTGTCCTAGAACCCCGGCCACGGGACCTTCCCAGGCACGTCCTAGAAGCCCGGCCACGGGACCTTCCAAGGCGCGTCCTAGAACCCCGGCCGCTGCCCCTTCCCAGGCGTGTCCTAGAACCCCGGCCACGGGACCTTCCCAGGCACGTCCTAGAAGCCCGGCCACAGGACCTTCCAAGGCGCGTCCTAGAACCCCGGCCATGGCCCCTTCCCAGGCGCATCCTAGAACCCCGGCCACGGGACCTTCCCAGGCGCGTCCTAGAACCCCGGCCACGGGACCTTCCCAGGCGCGTCCTAGAACCCCGGCCACGGGACCTTCCCAGGCTCGTCCTAGAAGCCCGGCCACGGCCCCTTCCCAGGCGCGTCCTAGAAGCCCGGCCACGGCCTCTTCCCAGGCGCGTCCTAGAACCCCGGCCACGGGACCTTCCGAGGCGCGTCCTAGAAGCCCGGCCACGGGACCTTCCCAGGCGCGTCCTAGAACCCCGGCCACGGCCCCTTCCCAGGCGCGTCCTAGAANTCCTAGAACCCCGGCCACGGCCCCTTCCCAGGCGCGTCCTAGAAGTCCGGCCACGGCCCCTTCCCAGGCGCGTCCTAGAAGCCCGGCCACGGCCCTTTCCCAGGCGTGTCCTAGAAGCCCGGCCACGGGACCTTCCCAGGTTCGTCCTAGAAGCCCGGCCACGGCCCTTTCCCAGGCGCGTCCTAGAAGCCCCGTCGTTTCCCCCCTAGATGCTCATCTCTGACCCATAAAGATACTTAAAGACAAAACCACAGTACTGGGCACAACTAGACAGCTTAGAATGGTTTCCAATGGCTCATCGTTTTTATTTTTTGCTTTATTTTTTTGAGACAGTCTCACTCTGTTGCCCAGGCTGGAGTGCAGTGGCACAATTTCAGCTCACTATAATCTCTACCTCCTGGATTCAAGCAATTCTCCTACCTCAGCCTCCTGAGTAGCTGAGACTACAGGCATGCACCACCATGCCCAGATAATTTTTGTATTTTTTTTAGTAGAGACGGGGTTTCGCCATGTTGGCCAGGCTGGTCTCCAACTTCTGTCCTCAGGTGATCCGTCCACCTTGGCTTCCCAAAGTGCTGGGATTACAGGCGTGAGCCACCGCACCCAGCCCATGTTTTTTTTTTTTGAGACAGTCACCCAGGCTGGAGTGCAGTGATGTGATCTCGGCTCACTGCAACCACCGCCTCCCGGGTTCAAGCAGTTCTCCAGCCTCAGCCTCCCCAGTAGCTGGGATTACAGGTGTGTGCCACCACTGCCTGGCTAATTTGTGTAGAGATGGGGTTTTGCCAGGCTAGTCTGTTCGAGACCAGGCTGGTCTTGAACTCCTAAACTCAGGCGATCTGCCCCCCTTGGCCTCCCAAAGTGCCAGGATTCCAGGCATGAGCCACCGCACCTGGCCTGTTTTGAGTATTTTAATGACTCCACCTGGCGACACATCCGTCCGCCAGGACATGCACAAGCTGTTGACTTTGTAAACACTCGCTCCTGGTGTTCCAGGGCTGAGCACATTCAGGAAGAGCCAGGTGGGAGGACAGTCCCTGCCCCGGCCTCAGAGAGCTCCAGGAAGGTCTTACAGTGCCTCGGCTGGTGTGTGCCTCCGGCACTGCAGGCGCCTGGCTGTTTCCTTTCACTCCCTCAGGAGAGTGGGTGGGGAGCTATGGCACCTCGGGGCAGCCTCCTCGAGTGGCGGCCCCAGCCTGTCCAGGTTTCCAGCATGGACCTTCCATGCTTCATTTGCCTTTTTTTCTCTTAAACTGGGAGAGAAGGTCTTGGCTCCAAACACGCTGACTTGCGTGCTTTGCGGATTCCTCCATCTGTACCGACTCTGTGCTAACATTGCTGCCCGGGTTGTAGTTACCAAAAGAGGAAGTGACTTTGTTACGAAGGCCCTGGGGTCTGCGCCACCGATCAGCAGCCACATTGCTGTGTCCTGAGACCATGCGCGAACCCCAGGCTGCCTTCCTGTGTGCCCTGTCCTGAGTGAGGCCTGTGCGCCAGCAACCCACCTAGGCCCGTCTGCATTTTGCTTAGGGTGGGAGTCCCCGGGGACCTGCTGGCCTTTCCCCACCCAGCCCTGACCGGAATGGACCCTAGACCTCAGTAGCTTCTCATGGGCAGGAGGCAATCGGGGATATGGGGGAAGGAGGCCGCAGTCCCGCCCAACAGATGGTTCTAGTGAGCCCTGTGCCAGGCCTGGGGCTCCAGGTAGAAACTCCACTTCTCATGCCTCTCCTCAGGCTCCCCACTGGTGCAGGAAGTCACCACCCAGCCATGGATGGGGAGGAGCAGCAGCCAGCGCATGAGGTAAGACAGGGCTGGGCTGGCTCCTGGGGTCAGTCCTTGGCTGCTGCTCTGCAAAGATGATCTTCACGGGGTTCTCCAGGGCCAGGCAGGGGGCTCCTCTGAGGGAGAGGGGTCCTGGGCTGGGGTGCCTGGCGGCCCTGCCAGTGATGGCCAAGCAGGAGGAGTCCTGGCAGCACAGGGCATAGGCTCCACGGAGCGGCCACGGGGCCCTTTCCAGGCTGCGTGGTCCATGGGGTAGGCACAGAGCCCCGGCTTTGCGGGGTGCGTGGACCCTGACTTGAACTCTCCCTTCACCTGCAGGCCGATGTGGAACCTGTTGTGCCGTCGGAGGCTTCAGAGCCGGTGCCCAGGGTGCTTTCTGGAGACCCCCAGAACCTGTGTACGTCTCCCTCAGGGCCCTGGCACGTTCCCTGGTGTTGGGCTATTGAGTCAGGGAGAAGCGGGTGGAGGCCGACCGCTGTCATGGGCTTTGAGTCTGTGGCCGAGACCTGGGGTGGGTGCTGCTAGGCCCAGTGCCCCAGAGGACAGACCTGACCCCCACAGCAGCTGCTCCTGGGCCCTGTGTGGCAGCAGAGCCTCTTGGAAGGGCTGCCAGCAGCACAAGCCAGCCTTGGGCATAGGGGGCTCTTGAGCATAAGGAGTGTGAGAAGTGTGAGAGCCCCTCCTGTGGCGGGGACACGGGCTTTCCCTCCTCAGAGCCCCTCCCCTCGCTGAGCCCCCTGGGGCGCCCGCCACTCCACTGTCTACCATGCGGTGTGTCACCTACAGCAGCCCCTAAGCTCGCCCTCATGGTGTGGATGGGGCACAGGCTTCTCAAAGGCGTCCAGCTCACAGAGGTGGTAGCCGGTGTTCCTGTTACCAAGCAGGCCAAGCGTGTGGGGCGTGTGGCTCGGTGTGTGTGGGGCGTGGGGCTGGTCGGGGAGCGTGTGGGGCATGTGGCTCGGTGCGTGTGGGGCGTGGGGCTGGTCGGGGAGCATGTGGGGCGTGTGGCTGGTCGGGGAG